AAATTGTAGAAACCTTTATTGCTGTGTTGTTTCTGACATAGCTTTTTATAGAATACAGATAATTGAACAAACTTAATTGCATTACATTCTTGATTAAAATATCTTTCCAGTGATATATAGTTTTATGGTACTACTAAAAAAAAATGTTATTAGCCATCAAACCTCAAAAATACATCCCTCCCCCCGCAAAAAAGGTTTCTACAATTTTTGGTCACTACAGTATTTTTGCTGATTCCGGATTCCGGAGAGAGGTCAGCCAGAAAATAGTGTACATCCATTAAAAAAGAACCTAGTTTTGACCTCTCCTTCTGCTAAGGGGGATGGGGAAGAGTTCTAAACAAAGCTAAGACTTGTGTGAGTTGAGTTGTGAGAGCATTGTGCCCTTTTCCCTCCTCCTGGACAGATCGGCCAAACCCCCAGATAGATAACCACAGGGAAGGGGACAGGCCAGGATATAGTTCTAAAGAAGGCACCAACTTTGTAGTCAACGAGAGGGCACTGTTGACTGTGAGGAACAAGGGTTTATTTTAGGGCACGGGGGAATGGAAAGGGATTAATTTTGAATATTCTGAAATATATGTCAGTGAAGAAGACTTCTCCTGATGGCTTTTCTGTCTTTGTTAGACAGCCTGTGGTCGGTGAGTCACCTCTGGCTGAAATGTTTCGAAATACCTAAGTGTGTTGGAAGCTTTGACCCTGGCCATCTTGATTATTTTGACCATGCAATTCTACGTGTTTGCTTTGGCAAAAGTTTTTGAAGTTATGGCGCTAGCACATGCTGCTCAGTAGAATCTGGCCTAGTCCAGCTGACATTGAGCACAGGAGCTTCCTACCATGGTTAAAAAGTTCATGGGCCTCATAGACCCCTGAGATGCTTTTCTAGATTCCCCCAATTCCTCAAGATCCTCCTGCTGAATAACATAATTTTACATCATCATCATCATTATATACTTTATTCATTAAGCATGAAATTCAGTCAGCTGAATATTCAAAAATACACCACAAATACCATTGACTGGTGCTAATGGTTGTTATGGGTTGCTGCTAGGGTCCTAGCTATCAACCAGGTATCTTTTTAAGATATACAATGCTCTGAGTAGCACAGTTTTTTGCAGTTCCTCTTGTGTTGCAAGAAGCTACAATTTCTTGATGTGTTTTATATAATACTTGGATATGGTACCAAGTGTCCCGATGACAATAGGTATCACTGGTTGTTGTTGTTGTTGTTGATGATGATGATGATAAATTCAATATCTACATAAACAGTGTGTTGTCTCAGTATAGTTAATTTTGAGAAATAATGATAATAGTAACAATGATATTCATAACATTAATAATGATCACATAATATTAATGGAATTTGTTTATCCCTTTTAGTAAATCTTCCTTATATAATTAATCATTTCTTATGTTTTTAAATTTCTAGCTTCTGTTTCTGTTAGTTAGCCATTGGTAAAACAAATCTCATGTTAAAAAAATATTCAATTTCTTCCTTCCCCTTATTTTTAAGTGTTAATCTATCCATTTCTATACATTCTAATATTTTGTTATTCTGTTTGTTTTGCTAACAATTTTCATGGAGGGAAGTAAGCAGTGGGGTACCCCAAGGTCAGGGGTTAGCAACCTGCGGCTCTGGAGACACATGTGGCTCTTTTATTCCTTTGCTGCAGCTCCCTGTCGCCAATCAGCTCCACAATTGATAGGGTTTTCGGTTAGAGATAGAGGAAAAAGGACGCCGCGCTAGGAGGAGACTCTATGCTGGGGGAACCAGACTTCTGGTTGTCAGAGGAAAAAGGACGCCATGTTAGGAGAAGACTCTATGGTGGGGAAACCGGACATCCGAATGGCTCCAGAATTGAACGGAGGGCTTCCGGTTAGGACCTTTGTGGCTCTTTAAGTGTTTAAGGTTGCCAAGCCCTGCCCTAGGTTCTGTCTTAGGCTCAGTACTCTTCAATAGCTTCATCAATGATTTAGATGAGGGAGTAGAAAGGGAACTCATCAAATCTGCAGACATTTTTTGCCTGAAATTTGTTAGCAAACTACTGAACAGCGATGACAGGACCATGATGCTTCTCTTATTCACACTTTTTGAACCCTAGTCAAATTAAACCAAAATCAATGAAAAAAATATGCAGCGATTTTGCAATGTGAGTAGACCATGCCAAACGTCGTACTCATGAGATGTAGCTGCCAGCCACAAACAGCTTTCCTAGTCTGATAAAAAACAAAATTTTGGGAAAATCCTATTACACAACTGTAAGTCATGGAACTGTATCAACAGCATTTGTTTAATAGGCGCTAAGGAGGACAATTCTCATGTTTAACTTCCATTGGCCAGCTTGGCATGTGGTTGGTGATGATGGGAACTGTGCTCAAGCTGTATTGATTGCGTCAGTTTCCTCAAGGCATTTACATGTCACATGGGGAAAGTCTTGGAAATCACATACAAATTTTAATACAGATGTTCATGTGACGGAAAGCCCTGCTTACATCCACACCACTGGACTCCACGGTGATTCATGCCTTTATGGTCCTCATGTTGGATTTCCATAACGGATGTCTTGGTAACTACCACTTCCAATGTTCAACATAGTGTTCCCATCAATTTTTCTACATGGGCCCGTTTTGACAAGCTCATCACCACGTTGTGTGATGACTTTGCATTAGTCACAGTTTCTCAGCTTCACAGACAGACAGACAGATATAGAGATATAGATATAGATATTGTTATTAGTTAAATTGTTGTTGAATAACTGAGATATTCCCTTTTGTTTATTTGCTATAGAAGAGATCAAGCCATATCCAGCAAATGGAATAAATGCTGCCTATCCAGAATCTCGCTACACATCTGACTACTTCATTAGTAAGTCCAATTCTTTTTTCTACTCTTTCTTCCTTCCTCTCTCCCTCCCTCCTCCCTCCCTCCTTCCCTCCTTCCCTCCTTCCCTCCTTCCCTCCTTCCCTCCTTCCCTCCTACAAGAGGGTAAATTAATGTGTGCAGAATATTGGGCTTTAAACAAATCTAAAAATGTGTTCTGTTAATTTAGAACAAATATTGGAATGTGTGACCTAGTACACCTCTTCCCAATTACATCTGCCTGTCACATCAGATCCAGCAGAAAGGGAATCTTGCAGGATCTTTGGCAAATCCCAGACAGCGGCCTTTTCTGCCGAGGTGCCCACGTAGGTCCCTGAAACCCTGGATCACCACTTCATGCCATTTTTCTCCTTGCAGGTTATGGCATTGAGCATGCTCAGTGTGTGCCTCCATCAGAGTTTTCTGAGCCCAGCTTCATCACAGAGTCCTACCAGACTCTCCATCCAATCAGCTCTGAGGAGCTCCTATCTCTCAAATATGAGAATGAATACCCACCGGTCATTCTTCGCGACCCAATGCAGATGGACTCCCTGCAGACAGACTACTTCACAATCAAACAGGAAGTCGTAACACCGGATAACATGTGCATGGGGCGTGCCAGCCGAGGTAGTGTAGACAAATAGATAATGAAGGCTCCTCTATTTGGGCTATTGGGGTTGCTTCTGTTCCATTCCTGGTACTGCCACAAAACGTCTTCAAATCATGGTTGCATTCTGCTGGTGTGCCTTTAATCAGCACTGGTGTTGCAGTGGTTAGAATGCAGTATTGCAGGCTAACTCTGTCCACAGTCTGGAGTTCAATCCGTGGTGGTGCAGTGGTTAGAATGCAGTACGGCAGGCTAGCTCTTCTGCTGACTGTTCAATTCCCACCAGCTCAAGGTTGACTCAGCCTCTCGTCTTTCTGAAGTCAGTAAAATGAGGACCTAGATTGTTGGGGGCAAGAGGCTGACTCTGTAAACCACGTAGAAAGGGCCGTAAAACACTGTGAAGCGGTATATAAGTCTCAGTGCTTATTGCTATTGATTTAGACTTTTATCCTTCCAAGGTCAATAAAATGAGGACCCAGATGATTGGAGGCAATATGCTGACATTGTAAACCATCCTGTTAAAGCGTTACAGGGCGGTATATGAATTTAAGTGCTACTGCTATTGCTATTGCTATTGCTGGTTACTTTTGCTAAATGGTGGATAATTTTGGTATAGTATGCCTAAGTGATGTTACTGGGGACATGTTCTACCCTAGTCTTCCCCAACCATGGACTTTGGATGTCATAGTTCTAGACATCTTGAGGAATCTAGAACTGGCAAAGGCTATTGAAGAAATTTCGTGCAATGGCCATTGTGTCAAAACTCGGGCAGGGGGGTAAAGATGTCTGTTGTAACTTCTCACTCAAATGGGGGCACCAGCTTTATTTGTAAATAGGGATGAATCACTTTGGTTTCAAATACACACACACACACACACACACACACACACACACACACACAAGTATATGTATGTATGGGACATGGTGGCTCAGTGGCT